GCGAAGCAGCAGCAAACGCCCTGCGGTAGCAGCTTGGGAAGGAGAACAACGTCATGTACAGCAATGTTTTTGTTTGTTTTTTTCCAAATGAGAACTGCAGTTGCCAATATGATGTCTGGGTTGTATTTTGGTTTTTACGGGGGGGAAGCAGTTGGCTCTGAAAACTGAAAGGCACCGCTGTAAACAGGACTTAACCGCGGGCGTCTGGAGGGCCTGTTGCAGAAGGTGCATTTTGTTTTTATGCTGTGGTGTGCATGGTTTACAGAGACTAGTTGCATTTTCTTTGTGTATACTGTTTATTGTATATAGGGGATGTACAAATATAAGGATGCCATTTTGTCATAACCATATCAAATTCTACTGATTTCCACTGTAGACGCTGTCTTACTGTGTAGATTGACAGGCCGATCCATTGACTTTGATTGTGTAATTTAACAATAGAACCGATAAATAAAATTTAACTACAGTCTTCTGATTTTCATGTGAATAGTTCTTTATCCAATGACATGTTGGGAATTGCACAGTTCAAAATGAACGGTAATTTTGACACGAATGAAATAGCAGTTGACAGGCAAGTATATGAGCTTAAAATCACGGCTTGCCTGAAGTGTATTTAAGCTGCAGTTTTCAAGGGCGAAACCACTTTGGGCTTTCTTTGGTTCAGGAGTTGTCGCAGAGGTTTTGGCTGCTTTTGTGAGCAGTCCTCCTCAGACAAACAAGCTGTGGTTTCTGCTGGTTTTCAAAATGGTTGGCAATGGTCTGCAGCATCATCAGGGGATTGTTCCTCTGTGTGTGTGTGTATATGAGTATCATTATTTTTTTCTCCTTTACACGATAGTCTCTATTTTTGCTCCAGCTGGCTCTGGAGATGCTGCCTAGCTGCTGCCTTCCAGTGCACCCTGCTCTATCCCTTCCTGGGACGTTTTAAAACACAAAAAAGCTGAACCAGATTTAGATGCAAAAGCAGGCGAGAATGAATCGAGCATAGGGCCCCAGATCAACTAGAAAAGATGCTTTTTTACAGTTTGGATGGAGGTTTTTTTTTATTGGTGGCTATAAAAGATCAGCCGGCTTGCAGGACTTGCAGCGGGGCGGCGGACCCAAAGATGTCCATAGGAGACCTTGCCGTGACCGAGTCGGATTCCCTGGTGAGGACAGAGGTGCCCTTCCTCTTCACGGTGGGTTGACCCGCCAGGCGCCCACCAAAGCTGCTCTGTCGCTCCCCTCCTCAGCTGGATGGGGGGAGAAAATACAGCGAAAGGCTCGTTGGTCGAGGTAAGGACCAGAAGAGATCACTCACCAGTTACTGTCACGGGTGAAACAGACTGAACTTGGGGAAATTAGTTTAATTTATCACCAATCAAATCAGAGCAGGATAATGAGAAATAAAATCAAATCTTAAAAACACCTTCCACCCACCCCTCCCTTCTTCCTGGGCTTGACCTTACTCACAGGGGATGGGGAATGGGGGTTACGGTCAGTTCATCACACCTTGTCTCTGCTGCTCCTTCCTCCTCGGGGGAGGACTCCTCACCCTCTGCCCCTGCTCCAGTGTGGGTCCACCACAGGGCCACAAGACCTGCCAGCGAACCTTCTCCAGCGTGGGCTCCTCTTTCCGTGGGGCCACAAGTCCGGGCAGGAGCCTGCTCCATCGTGGGCTCCCCCCAGGGTCACAGCCTCCTTCAGGCATCCTCCTGCTCTGGCGTGGGGTCTTCCCCGGGCTGCAGGCGGGGATCTGCTCTGCCCTGGACCTCCATGGACTGCAGGGCACAGCCCGACCCACCATGGTCTTCTCCACAGGCTGCAGGGAATCTCTGCTCCAGCGCCTGGAGCACCTCCTGCCCTCCTTCTGCACTGACCTTGGGGTCTGCAGGGCTGCTTCTCTCACATATTCTCACCCCCCTCTCTCTGCTGCTGTTCCACAGCCGTTTTACCCTGCTTAGCTCTGTTACCCCAGAGGTGCTGCCACCATCGCTGACGGGCTTGGCCTTGGCCAGCGGCGGGGGCGG